AGTGAAGAGTGCCTTGAAAAAGGTAATGGGAACAGCGTTTCTGAAGGTCCAGGAGCTTGAGACCCTCTTGTATGAGGTTGAAGCAGTGGTGAATAGTCGTCCGCTAACTTATGTGTCTGATAGCCTGGATGAGCCACCAGTAACCCCTGCAATGATGATGGGTGACATCTGGATGTCGTCAGAGAAGCCAGCAGGTACCCTGGACGCTGCGCAGATGTCATCGAGATTGCGTTACCTCAGTCGGACACTGGAGCATGTCAAGAATCGTTGGGAGGTGGAGTACCTAAGTCAGCTGAACAAACACCAACAGACCATGTCGCGCCCTTTAGCTGTGGGTGATGTTGTCTTTGTTCTCGATGATACCAAGCGCAAACAGTTCTGGCGTTTGGGACGGATCATCGAGTTATTCCCTGGTCGAGATGGTAAGCGTCGTGTTGCCAAGGTTAAGTTGAGTACCAGTACCTTGTTGAGGCCGATCCAAAGGTTAGTGCCGTTAGAAGTATCGTCACAGGACGTGGCTCCTGGGCTTGCAGATACCGCTCAACCTGTTATCGTCCCTCAGCAGCCAGCGTATGAACCGTCAGCACCGTTACCACCACCACGGCAGCAGGAGATAACGCGTTCTGGGCGCATAGTCAGAGCCCCGGATCGTTTTTGACTTGTGTGCATTGTTGTACGGCGGTGAGAAGCCCTTTGGTGGGGAGAATGTTGTAAACCACCAGTTCTCAATTGGGAAAGGCCTTCGCGCTTATGGCATTGTATTCGTTGAAATGTTGTATTTCGACTCCGCCGTACCGCTGATGTTGCTGCATGGCATACGCTATATGCGTTGTGTGCGTTTTGCTGTATACGCTGTTATGTCCAGTTTTATCTGCTTATGTTTTGCATGTACGCTGTTTTTTGCATGCTATAAATAGCTGGTGTTATTAGTGTTCATTGTTAATTATTCGGTGAAGTGAAATATACTGTCTAAAGGAAAAGAGTTGTCCTCGTGCCGTGTGGTCGTACGATCCTGACAATTTAGAGAATCTTAGAGGGTTCACAACAGTAATAGTTTTTTTTTTTTTTTTTTTTTTTACGAGAAACCACGAACCTCGAGAACAGAATACTGCATGGTAGAGGTGGTTGCAGACGCAACTGTGGTGGTGAAAACTGGAGCATCTCCGCCGACCTGAGGTCTCGACTTCAGCGACACTTCAGAGCACCAAAAACTGGGGAGGAGTAGGCACAGGGGGAGGGGAGGGGGTACATTTATATAGAGGAAGGAAAAACGGAAAGATGATACATGTGATAGAGGAAGAAAAAAAATAAAAAAAAATAAAAAATAAATAAATAAATAAATAAAATAATAAAAAATAAATAAAATAAAAAAGGGGGGAGCCATGATGCAAGCAGAGAGGGTGTTCAGGGAGTGTTCAGAGGGCATCTGTGGCTGAACGCCAGTCTCGGCTGCGGAGCGACTTGTAGGCGCCTTCCTTGAATGCCTGCATTCCCTTCTGCGTGGGAAGGTTGCGTAGCAGGGCAGATGGGAGACGATTCCAGTCTTGGATCGTGGCATGGGGGAATGATCGGAGAGCACTATTACGGGCTCCGGCGGGCAGTGTCGGTGCTAGTTGGTGCTGGTGCTGGTTCTTTTGCTGGTGGCGAGTGGAGCGCCGGTGCTGGTTTGCAACTGCCCTCGGTGGTGTCATGGTGGTCAGGATTGGGGGACCGTCGATCCAATGCAGCTTGTACAGGAATGTGAGTGCTGCGACTTGACGCCGAACAGTGAGGCTTGGGAGGTATGACCCTGGGCCGATGAGCTTTAGGGCTCAGTGCTGTACCCGGTCCAGCTGGTTCAGGGTAGACTGGGACGCACCCAACCATAGTATGGATATAAGAATAGCTATATTGTGTGTGTAGGGATAGTATGGATATAAGAATAGCTATATTGTGTGTGTAGGGATAGTATGGATATAAGAATAGCTATATTGTGTGTAGGGATAGTATGGATATAAGAATAGCTATATTGTGTGTGTAGGGATAGTATGGATAAGAATAGCGATATTGTGTGTGTAGGGATAGTATGGATATAAGAACAGCTATATTGTGTGTGTAGGGATAGTATAGATATAAGAATAGCTATATTGTGTGTGTAGGGATAGTATGGATATAAGAACAGCTATATTGTGTGTGTAGGGATAGTATGGATATAAGAATAGCTATATTGTGTGTAGGGATAGTATGGATATAAGAATAGCTATATTGTGTGTGTAGGGATAGTATGGATATAAGAATAGCTATATTGTGTGTGTAGGGATAGTATGGATATAAGAATAGCTATATTGTGTGTGTAGGGATAGTATGGATATAAGAATAGCTATATTGTGTGTAGGGATAGTATGGATATAAGAATAGCTATATTGTGTGTGTAGGGATAGTATGGATAAGAATAGCTATATTGTGTGTGTAGGGATAGTATGGATATAAGACCAGCTATATTGTGTGTGTAGGGATAGTATGGATATAAGAATAGCTATATTGTGTGTGTAGGGATAGTATGGATATGAGAGTAGCTATATTGTGTGTGTAGAGATAGTATGGATATAAGAATAGCTATATTGTGTGTGTAGGGATAGTATGGATATAAGAATAGCTATACTGTGTGTGTAGAGATAGTATGGATTCTTCTGAGTCTGCTATGTACTAAGCTCTGTCTCTGACATTGAGCACTCTCTGCAGCTCGGGGATCAACGGATTCGATATAGGAATAGCTATATTGTGTGTAGAGATAGTATGGATATAAGAATAGCTATATTGTGTGTAGGGATAGTATGGATATAAGAATAGCTATATTGTGTGTGCGTCAGGCGAAATTACTGGTCAGTCGGCGACACGCATTTTTCACAAAAATTTGCGGTTCACCTGCTGGGAGAGTATGCGTGTACTCGAGTCTCATCCTGAGCACGCTTTTTTTCTTCTTTTTTTCAGCTCCAGTATAGCTGTATTTTTCATTGCAAAGCCGTCCTCGATTGTTGTGTTCGTTGTTCAAACGAAGTGGACATTCAATCATGAAGGCAGAGGACATAGGAGCCTGATTGGAGTTTCTCGTGGCATAGGACGGCCACACAGAGACAATTTGGGATTTTCTGAATATAAAATACCGTACGCACGATGCTGAGATCAATTTGTGCGATATCAATTTGTTTGTGATCTACCACATCGAGCAGAACGGGATCCAAACACAAGCTTACCGACGGTTAGGCTGTCGACCTGACTGGACAAATGATCCCTAGCTTCACCAGACACCAGAAGTCGGACACCATGTCCTTTGCCGCGACGTCCATCTCCAAAAAGAACTCCATCTTCGTCGTGAAAAGGCTTGAAATACTCAATATTAAACCGAGATTCGCGGTCTCGCCCTTTCTCAGATCGAATCATTTTTTGTTGTAGCAGTTGCAGGGCAGATCCCGCCACTACTTCAACAGAAGATGGCTCCAAAGCATGCCTGGAACAAGCGATATCGAAGTTGCAAGCCACCCCTCTCAGCACTTTTTTGAAGAAATTCGAAATTTCAATGGTCGAAGATATACTATGAAGATAATTTCAAAAAGTATGTTTCGCGGAGCGATTGCTCAACCTACGTCCTACAAACTTTGCAGGATGGTTCAGACGTACATGCTTGGCATGGAACCACAGAAGATGATATCATAGCTGACACACAGAGTCACACACACAGCAGATTCGTGTGCACAGATACTAAATTAGTGGACGTCGTCATCTTCTTCCCGCTGATCTCAAATGTATTATGACGTGCTATTTCGCCTGACGGTAGGGATAATAATAATAATAATAATATGAACAGGTCGCATATTCGGGAGAATGAAGTTGAAGGCAGCCTAGAGAGCGTGTGTGGGCAGGCGTGTGTTTACCGCCATATTGCCAGGTGTGTTTTTACCACCATATTTATCAACCAGGTCGCATATTGCCCGCATAAAAAATCATACGGGGTCATGCATCTGTCAATGATCTTTAACCAGAGTTGCTTCTTGGTGGCGAGGTTGAGGCATTCCTGAATCGGCACATTCAGAGGTTCGAGGTCTTCTCTGATGTTGTCGACCCATCTCTTGTGGGGTCGTCCACGGGGGCGCTTGATGTCCGAAGTAATGAGGGCTAGCTGCAGTGCCTTTTAAGAGGCCGCGTCTCGTCCTTCCCGGGCAACTTGCCCCAGCCACAGGAGGCGGCGCTCTTTACATGTTTGCGAGATCGGGGCTTGCTAATCTTCTGGTTGGATATGTGGTGAGGGTGGACAATGTTCATAATATATCGGAGCTTGCGACGATGCCATGCATCCAGCCGATCCTCTAGCTTCTTCGTTAGTGTCCAGAGGCCACAGTTGTACAAAAGTACAGGCAAAATCAGAACTTTAACACATACATAAACGAGAGTCAAGACTGTGGTAATCCCAAGCAATGGAACTGAAAGCACGGTTTGCTGCATTTATTCTAGAGTTCACGTCCTCAGCTGACCCTAGCAAAGAGCCAAAGAGCTTCACTGATTTCCACTCTTGGTCAGCCTTAGTCGCGGTGAATGTATGGGTTTTCTGAAGGTTAGTTTAAGGTTGTCTTCGGCGAAAACTTTCTCGCACTGAGGTAGGAGGGCCGTAATTGTTCTCAGTGGCATGAAGGGTGGTGTCGTCTGCATACTGAGAGTGTGGACAGGGTTGAACTGAAGGCAAGGAAATCAAATCAACTTTACGCATAGCTCCTTCAGCATACACGATATACATTATCGGGGAAAGTGGGTCGCCTTGGACAACTCCAATGTTCGTGTCAAACGGTGTACTGAGCTGGTTGCTGAGTTTGACCCGAGCAGACGTGTTGGACATGAGTGTTTCCGGCATTCTCACAGGGCAGTCTGCTGCCACCATCCTCTCCAGGAACAGCTGTGTAGGGATAGTATGGATATAAAATGGTCCCTGCTTGGAATTTGGCTTTGTGTTTTTGTTAACATCCTTACAGCTCAATCTGGCATGCGCAGTGACTTGGAGGGAAAAATCGGCGAAGTGAAGTCAGCAGTTACTGCTGTACCAGCTACCGTGGAAGGCATTGTCAGAAAGGTGAGTTTTTGTCACACTAATTTACTTAAACTCGGATGGGGAGATAATTTAATTATGATCAAAAAGGAGAAGGACGGAATTTTATGACTAACTGTCCACGAACGTTACCAGATCATGTACAGTCGGGTCGGGTCGGGTCGGGTCGGCTCGGGTCGGCTCGGGTCGGCTCGGGTCGGCTCGGCTCGGCTCGGCCCGGCTCGGGTCGGGTCGGGTCGGGTCAGGTCGCCGAATGTCTCAGCACCCCTTGTCAGTTGTGTGCAATTTTGGAGCACTCTCTGACTGTATATGATCTGGTTACGTTGGTGGACAGTTTGTCATAACTCGTAACATTTTGTCCTCTTGTTACCATACCGTATTGTCTCCATTACCAGCACAGTCTCTTGTAGAAACCCAGTCTCTATTATAAGCACACTCCAAGACGGCTTCGAAGATATACCAGCGAAGTTTCCAATATAAGCGCAGGGCTTATAATGGAGAACTGTATGGATCATGTGCATGCATGTTTGACGTCCATAGCATCACATACACACATGTTATGGCGCAAGTCTGTGATCCCCGAGATACAAATGTACAGGCTCAGTGTACCAGGAAGTGCAAAACTGCATTCACGGTACCTGGTTGGAAATGTTGTGCTACTGGTACTTCAAAGTATAAAAGAAATACTTGTAGCAGATGGTTGAATTTATAAGCCCAGTCTCTAGTAGAAGACCAGGGTCAGGACTGGTTTAAAAATTTATAAGCCCAGGGCTTATAATGGAGATAATGCGGTAATTTAGTTTGTGACTTAGCATCCACTGATCACACTGGCATGTTAGCATCCACTGATCACACTGGCATGTTAGCATCCACCGATCACACTGGCATGTTAGCATCCACCGATCAAACTGGCATGTTAGCATTTGTCACATACCCCTACTTGAGTGCTTTGTGGTATTGCACTCACATTGACATCACAGAGCTTTGCGCACGCCTAGCCTGACGTTACACGTATCTTCCATGGTAACGCCAACCAAAATGGTGTCATTCGTGCTTGTGCGTCACAGCTTGCTTTCTCTTTCTTTCTTGATGTTGGCTCCACTGCAAAGTCATATTATTGGCGACTTTTAATTTGTGCTAGCATCAGATTTTCATTCTCTCATCTCCACGCTTCAAAATCAGAATTCATTGACGCTTGTTGGTGCCTGAAACAATGCCGTCGTCTACTGTGGATTTCCAGATTGCAGTAGCATCAAGGTTCCTGATATATCTTCACCCTTCAAATTCAGACTTCAGAGACGCTTTCAGGTGCCTAAAACAATGTCCTCGTCTACTGTGAACTTCTAGACTTTACCAGCTTCTGATTTCCTGAAATATCTTCATCTTTCAATTTTAGATTTCAGTAATGCCTGTGCCTTTTGGTTCAGAGATTGCTGGACGACATGCAGGGGAATGAATTCAAATGACTCCATCACGTCTGCCGTAGCACTGTTCAAGGTACTCATTGAGCCCCCATCCACTTTAGATCCATCTGGGATTCGAGAAGTAATTCAGGATGAAGTTCATCCTGCCATCACAGACAAGGTTCGAAACTCTGTCTTGCCGCAACCACGGACAGTACTAGCACCACCAGCTGTGTCAGCCGACAATGGCGTGAGTGCTGTATACTCCTGCTGGCTGGGTGATCAAGATAGGTGCTTGGGAATATGATGACTGCGGGTTCAAATCCTGCTGGAACTTCTCTGATCCATTGTTGCCTGAGACCTTGGAGGCAGTTGATAAACATACTTCCTCCGTTAACAAAAACTTCGTGATGGATTTTGATGGATATGAAAACGCTTAGAACAGGTCAAGAACAGTTTATATCGATTACAAATCACTGGACGAAGGTGATTCAGCCTATGTACAGCGTCTTTACAAGAGAAACGGTTGGCGGAATGAGCAGAGAGTTCAGTTTGCGTAGCTTTCGCTCGACTCATTTTTGACCTACGTCGCCGTCGTCATCTGCTGCACGCGAGTCGTCATCTCTCTAGGGTCGTTGTTCAGCTCGTTTCAGCCTTGCCTCGGCTTCTTTGATCACACTCCGCTGGCCTTGATGTCGCCCACGTTCAAGTAAGTTGGTTTTCAAGCTGCGTGATCCGCCGCGATGGCGATTACTCGTTTCCACCAGGGAGTTGTGAAAAATATTTTATGACTCCCTGGTTTCACCTTCGCTCTCCAGAACTCCGCGAAACGAGGAGTAAAGGCACAGCCAAACTGATTCCATTTTCTCTAATGGATACCCCTGCCAGCACTGAACGGCAGCGGCTAGCAAGTCCAGTCGACTTTCTTTAGCCATGATACTCGCATCGGACTGCAGACTTTTGAAAGAATGCATGATCATCAGCATTCGAATCTGGGCTTTGCGCAGGTTGAACAAGAACTTGAGTTCAGAATTATTTTCATTGAGCCGTGCGATCGGAGCAGTGCGATCGGAGCAGCTCCTTGTTCACTCGCTCATTGTGTGGGCTCGTTGCTCCGTTTTATCGCTCTCTATCGCTCTCCAACTTAGTTAGTGCTAAAGGTGGTAGAGAGGCCAAGCAGCGCAATATCCCCTCGGATAAGTGGTATTTCAGTTTCGCTCGCCATGACTGTCATCACCTATGTTTCCACAGCGCAACCATCGATTTCGCTCGGCTTGTTGTGAAAGGTCGCTTTCCTTGCATCGTACCTCTTTCATGGCATGCCAGGGAAGGCCAAGAAAGTGATTGCAACTCATTTCACGGCAGTTTGTGCTCAAATCAGCCCCTCAAAAATCCATCACGAAGTTTTTGTTAACGGAGGAAGTAAGTCTTTCAAGATCAAATTTAGTTTGTCCGTGGATGCAATATCAGTTGAAGCGGTGGTGGGCACCATTCGCCCGGTTCGTAGATGTGTGCATGAAATCACAACTTGGTCGGCAGCAGGGTATCTCGATATGAATGTTGTGTTTATTCATGCACTCCCATCACACTGCAGGGAGGCTGTTATCCCAGTGCATGGATTTTGCAGGTCAACAGGCAGTATTTCGCAGAGGCTTTGTATAATCAGCAATTTTGACGGAGTGTCGCTTCCCAGCCAGGCAAGCATTTTGCTACCATTGACGTAAATGCTTGGCCACTCTGTATCCCAGGTGAAGCTAGGCCTGAATGTATGTCTGAAACCTTGTTCAGCTGGTGTCTGAACACAACATGTATCCTTTCTTTCATCTCGAAATAGCACACCAAGCCCAAACAGCATCATCTTCCCTGCTCACATGCAAACAACGCAGGCACCGTCATCTACCTCAACCTCAATATTGGCAATTGCATAATGGTCAATTTGCCAGCTCATCTACATTTGCAACCACTGTGACAAGGATCATTCACGTAACCAGTACTCCGGCAAAAGATCACCAGCCAGCCCAGTAGTTTGACGGGATCAAGATCCCAACGTGAACTGCAAATACCTGTTGCAAGCGTTCATAATCTTCCTTCCACATCTATCACTGCTTAGTTGACCAATGTTGGTTGTGGTGTTGCGACTTTGCTCCTGCAGTTGACCAATGTCTATACCTGCTCAGTACATCTTCAAGTGTGAAAATGAGACAGATGCTGATGCGATTGAGTTCACTATTAGCCCATTGAACGCTGATGACGTCTATAGACGTCATTGAAAATGCCCCCCATGTGCGGGATGACGTCTATAGACGTCATGAGATATATAGTGATTTCTGGCACTGTCTGGTGTGTAAAAGCCCTGTTAGTCAGTTGGATCATGATCGTCCCTCTTGTACGATAGGTCGTTGGTTCGAATCCCGCTTGGAAACACTACGCGTCTTGTTTTCTTCTCTTTTCAGCTTTAGGGTTTTACGTCGGGCCCTAGACGACGGCTACTTTGGCCAACCGGACAACGAAGAAGTTGTGACCAAAGAGAATGATTTTATTTCTTGCGCATGCGCATGTAGAATGACGTAACAGTCAGTGAGTCAGGTCGCTACAGTACTCCCCCGCCAGTGGTGAGGTCGGGAGGAGCGAAGCACGATAAACAAGAAACAAGAAAGAAAAGAGAAAGGAAAGCGCAGCATGTACAAGGCGGAAAGGCAAAAATATAATAATATGATACATATGTACAGGCGAGAGCGCTGCGTGTATGAAATTTGTTTGTGACGTGGCAACAAAGGCCGAAACAAAATCAAAAATGCAGAAAGCGGAAATGAGAGAGATGCATGACAGAGGCGGGTTAACATGTCAGAGGTGTGTTAACGTGACAGAGGTGGAGAGCATGTCAGAGGCAGAAAGAAAGAAAAGAGGAAATGTACGCGTGACAGAGGAGTGTGATCGTGTCAGAGGCGGAAAGAAAGGAAATGTACGCGTGACAGAGGAGTATTATCATGTCAGAGGCGGCTGCATGTTGCAGACTTGGCGGGATACCAGCAGGAGCGCTGCACTGGGGCGAGGCGTGCCGACTGAGGCGGGGACAGATGGAGGCGAGCGCAGCTCCATGGGGTCCGGTGCCGGGCGTGTGCCTGCGTGCGTGCACAGTTGGGCTGGTACGGATGGTGGAGGTGGCCAATTTCCAGCTTGAGGCCAGGACGAATACGGACGACGACGACGACTGGACGATGCCGTGGCAGGATAGCGGGGTATCCAGGTGGGCCGGGGAGGGTGGCAGGGGCCACAGCAGCTCCGAGGCGGATCCAGTGACGAGTGGTGGTGAGGCTCAAGTTTTACGTCAACAGCCGGCGATTGACGGGATCCCGAGAGTTGAGGCGAGCAGGAAACTGCGGCGGGCCGAGCTCAGGGATGGCATGCTCAAAACTCCGAAGAGCGCAGCGTCGGGGGTCACCAATTTAGGGTTTTACGTCGGGCCCTAGACGACGGCTACTTTGGCCAACCGGACAACGAAGAAGTTGTGACCAAAGAGAATGATTTTATTTCTTGCGCATGCGCATGTAGAATGACGTAACAGTCAGTGAGTCAGGTCGCTACACAGCGATCTTTCAGCTGCAATTTCATGCATTTGGC